TTTACAAGCATGAGCTTATGGTGTCAGGAAAACTCATGTTACCCAAAACAGATTAAGTCCTCTCACAAATAAAGACACTTGGCTGGTTGGGTTTGTTTTTTCCTGGATTGTACTATGTGTGGAATAGCTGTAGCAGATCTGTTCTGTCTAGTTTGCAGAAATATGCTGGCATTTTACCTAAGGCATGCAGGTTTTGCCATCTCTTTCTGTATATAAAAGCCCAACCATTACTGTAGTTGAAAACAGATAATAAAGAAAATTGATAGAATATGTTGTTTTCCCAAGTTTTCTAAAGACACATTCTAAAACATCTGTATCACCTGACAGCTTGGGAACACTGCTTAAAACAGGCATTTTAAACACTGTCATTTGACCCAGATATTGTCATGGGGGGTGAAAATAGATCAAGATGTAAAAATTCAAATTAGCAAAAGATAACATTTCAAGTACTGAGAAACACTTAATTAGCAGATGAACTAGTATAGTAGAAAAGCAGTTGTTGTTAAAAATATTCATTGGTAATTTGAAGGAGTTGAATGCCATGCAAATTGGCTATACTTGCAGCAAATAACCTAGAGAACTGGAAATAGGAAGTAGTAGTAGTAACATGTAAAAAAACCTTGGAAAAAAAACAAATAATAAACATGCAAGGATGAAAATTGGAAGAAAGATGTGGAAAGCAGGTATTGCAAACTTTATTAACAAAATACAATAGAATATCATAGGTATATTATAAGTCATAATATTATGCAGTATTAATGAGATTTCAGGAGGCATTTGAGGCTGTGCACCAGTTATTTGTTACACAGATGTTTACCTGAATTTGGATCTTAGTGCTCAATGGTAGCACTTCAAACCAAAATTTTTACTCAGCATAATCTTTACTATCAGTATAGTTCATTTTTAATTTTTTTAACCTAATATTTCAACCATAAGAGCCAAAAATGAACTCCTAAGTTTATGGAATACTGAGAGTTCTGGACACAAAAATGTCATGCAACTGTATGTTTTGTAGATGGTGTATGAGGTTACCTTCAGAGTTATGGTAACTAAGGAGTTAATATTTTAGGGATGGTGGCAAAATACTTTTCCTATGGTAAGTCCTAAGTTTTCTTCTGTATGCTTTCCCCTGGAGACAATACACACAGACATATCTGTCTCTCCAGATACGCATCTATTTTGGGCAGTTTTTAATATTCTAGAGAAGGTTTAAAAGATAAAGATCAGTGAGCAAATACTGAACAGGCAATTTATTAACAGGTACCAAATTTTTATGCTAAAAAATGCCCTGAAATGAGGAATCTTTTTATAAAATACCGTAAATATATCATCAGTTATTTCTCTGCTGAAAGAACCTGAATTGCTTCCACAGTTTGCATTGATTTTACTCAGACTTAAACCATTCAATTTTTATTCCATGTCAAATGGTATATTAGCAGGTTCTATAAAAGTAACTATTTGCTTAACATTTTGAAATTAACTATATGTTCCTGAAACAGCACCTTTGTTTTATTTTATGTTATATCTGTTAGTGTTCTTTACTGCTGCTGCCATTATTTACAGGAGATTGTTTTGATAAGTATGTCTGTCCTGAATTCAGCTGGAATAGAGTTAATTTTCTTCCTAGTAGCTGGTGCAGGGCTGTGTTTTGAATTTAGTATGAGAAGAATGTTGATAACACACTGATGTTTTAGCTGTTGCTAAGTAGTGCTTACTTAGGAGTCCAGCACTTTTTGGTTTCCCATATTCTGCCAGTGAGCAGGTGCACAGGGAGCAGGGAGGAAGCATGGCTAGGACAGCTGACCTGAACTGGCCAGAGGGATATTCCATACCATAGAAGAGTATATAAACCAGGAGGAGCTGGCTAGATGCTGCCATTGCTGCTCAGAGACAGGCTGGGCATTGGGCATCGGGTGCTGAGCAATTGTGTTGGACAGCTCTTGTTTTGTTATCTCTACCCATGTCTTACCTTCTTCCCAGTTCCCCTCCCTACCCCATGGGGTAGAGGGGGTCTGAGAAGGCAGAGGGAGGAGGGAGGAAGGCAGTGATTGTGTCATACTTTGTTACTGGTTGGGGTTAAAGCATGACAATGACAATATCTGAACAAAATATTTGTATGTTGTTATCACACCAAAATGTAGATCTAAATTTGTACTATATACTTCTAGTCCCTTTCCTATAAGTAAACTAGTTCCTGCTAACCTTCAAGATGAAATTTTAGGTTCATCTCAGGTAATAAATGTCTTTTTTTCTTTTTATATTTCTCTGGAGCTCATGACAGCACAATGGCCAAATAAAGAGTTTGATTTGACCCTGCTAGAAACACACGTCAAGGTGTGTTAACCCAACTCAAGCCTCACTGTAACCTTTCCTTGACATATTTTGACATCTTCTATGTAGACTGAACAAGCTGGAGATATGCCCTAGCTGTCATCAGAGAGTATTAAACTCTGTGTCATCATTATTAAAATACACCAAGATGTCTGGTGAACATGAAGCACTGAAACGTGTCCACTTTATTTAAAATAATGACTGAATCAGTTAGTGCAGCTTTGTCGAATCTTAGCATGAATTGGCCCGAGATTTATTAGATCACACAAAAGCCTCAATATACACAAGTTACAACCTACGTGATTTGAATGTGTAGTGTCATACAAAAACAAATTCATGGAGGGAAAGTACCTCAGGGCTATGAAACGTGCAGTGATACTGTTGCAGATTGTGCATTAATAGAAGCATCTTCCATGGAAGAAGCATTCTCCCATTTGGCCAGTTTCCTGAAGTGTTCACTCCTAGGCAGAGATAACATCCTGGATGTGCTACCCACTGCACAGTACAGACACAGCACCCAAGACAGGTGGAGTCAAGGCCCTGAGGTCAGGACTGACACACACACTGTCCTGAGTGTCTGTAGCTACCTTAGAAAACAGAAACTGTCTGGGGAGTGGATGATTGCACAGGACTAATGGATTGTTTATTCTGAATCTAAATTGAATCCTTGCCTCTCAACAAAATGTAACAAAAACCATCGACCAATGCTTTTTGCATGTGCCTATAAGTTGTGCTAAATTTTTGTATATTATTCTACATTTTTCATTACTTTTTCCATGAGGTGTGATTAGGATTCCTTAAAATAAATGCAAACTCTTCCATTGACTTCAGGAGAGGACTAGAACTGAATATTAGCTGATACTCCCTCTTGTAGGGCGCTGAGTAAATTTAATTGTAGCCTGCTCAATAAACTGCACAATACCAGGATGCAGTGAGAATGTTCACATTCACAGATACATATGCTGATGTATGTTTACACATGAAAACATGGAAGTTTGTGCATTTATAAAGTTCTCATCTCTCCCATTATGGTTAGAGAACTTTGAATAAGAAGCCATTCTGACTGACACAATTAATGATGCTGCTATTATTAAGAGATTCTTACCAAAATGCTGGTCTCATCTTTTTTTGAGTGATATTTAGGCTGAGGGTGAATTTAAGCAGAAACCTGTCAGAAAAGGGATGTCATTAATTATTGTATGAAGATTATTAAATACCATGAGGAATGCCAATTTTATTATGTATCTTTTTAGTAAATTCTATTTTTCTCTGCATCATTTAGAACTGTGTATGTGTCTGATAAGAGAAAAGTTACCCACAATATGTAATCTTTCTCTTTATCTCAGTTTATATTTATTCTCTTATAAGTAAGTACTACAAGATTTTAGAAATGGCTACTGTATTATTGAAGACAGTTTTGCAGAAGGATAGAACTGGAGTTCTCTATTCTGGTTCTATTTGCATTTGCTCATTTCAGTGTTTCTAAGGCACTGAACTCATTTGCTAGGCCCAGTTCTGATGTTACATTGTACAGTTTAAGATTTTCTATGTTCTTCCACTATGTTATGAAAGGTACTCAGACATGCATCATGAAAATTTAAGATCACAAATTTTAATGTAGTTGTAAGTAATTATGTCTGAAAAGTATATTCTTGCATACACTATTACAGGAATGTATTAGTGTGCAGAATAAACAAAATGAAGAGGCACTGGAGACAATAATGTTCATAAATTCCTTAGTAAAAATCAATTATATTGCTGGTAAAATGAATAAAGAGGTGAGGGGGTTTATGTTAAAGGTGACTTCTGGTCAACAGGAAAATTCTTATGGACAAAGAATCAAGCCCTAAGCTTTCTCCAGAGTTTCATCCTTCAGCACTGAGATACCCTCTCACCCCAGAGGTCCTTCCAAAACAAGGCTGAGGTTGAAAGATCCACTGGGTAACTGTCTACTTTACCTAGGGA